ACCTCATTTAATTTTATGTCTTATAGAGTTTACAATGAGTTAAAGATTGTATAAGCGTAATAATTCATCTGTAAACCTAAAAATGTACAGCCAATTTTGAAAGAGATGTATCCTAACTCAGAAAAATGTTATTGAATAGGTTAATGCTGTTGTAATGAAATGCTTCTTCTAATAATTAAAAAAAAAAGAATCACAAAAACTCTACATTCTACGTTTTCAAAGCAAATAGCACACAGAAATACTGTTATTGTTTTAAAAACTGTTTAACTGCTCCACATGGTGATACACATCTTTAATCCCAGCACTGGGAGGCAGAGGCAGGCAGATCTCTGTGAGTTCAAAGCCAGGCTGGTCTACATAGCAAGTTCCAGGCCAGCTGGTGCTACAGGGAGACCCTGTTTCAAAAAGACAAAAAACAAAACAAACCCTCCCCCAACCCCCAAAAAACATGTTTAACCTAGGCAAATGTAATTTCTTACTATGTGCAAAATATGGATCCTTAAATTTACAGACAAGTATCTGAGTCACCACCCATCAAAGTAGCTTCTTTTTCAACAGAGATTATTAGTTACACCACTGGTCACAAGTGAATTGCCCAAGCCTAAGTGGCACATCTAGGATGCAACCTCTACACATAAGACTCACAGAACATAGAACAAGGGATGAAGAGACCAGCAATGCATCTTTCGATTCTCATTAATGAAGCTCCCTCATGCAACAGAGGGACAGGAACACAAAAGGCCACAAATGGCCAAAATGTACAGAATAAGAGTCTGCAGAGGGCAGGCCCTTGGACAGGACTCCTATGTTAAGGCCCATCCACCCAGGGCTCAGGGACCATTGCGGAAGAGGGGACAGAAAGATTCTAAGAGCCAGGGAGGAGGTGTATGACCATATGGAAATGGTCCTACAGGTGCCTAGGACACTTCTCATACAAACCTACAGCAATGGTATGAGCATGCACAAGACCCATGCAAACTTAGGCAGACAAAAACCCAGCATAGAACTGTGGAAACAAACTGCAAGCCCCAATCTTAGTGGAAGAATTAGTGGCAGCTGATTACTGCTGGGTGAGGAAGAGCTGATCTTCTAAAAGGAGAGACTCTAGATAGGCTGACTAAACCCTGGTGGATGAACTTGCACTGAGGGACATCTCAGGACACTAACTTTACATAATAGGCCTTAACACAAATGACAGAATATATGAACTCCATTGGGGGGTGCTATGGGAGGGTGCCAAAGGGGAAGGGGAAGATTTTGTGTATGAAATAAACAAAAATTCAATTTAAAAACTGTTTAAATCATATAGTATATATAATGAAATGTACAACCAGCACATATACTGACAACAGCAAGTCACCCAGGTTCCTTTATAGCTCAAGTCTACTGCTCTGTGAATTTGACACCAGTCTGCCAAAAAAGTCAGAGTGTCATAGAGCTCCTTTCCTGTGGATATTTTGCTTTCTCTTTTAAAAGAAAAGGACTAAGTTTCTTGATTCCAATTAGCTATAAAATGAACTAAATAGTTTTAAGAAACCATCTCCAAGTTCAAACAATAAAATTTTATATTTAAAAATGAGTTAGAGCTATCAGATTTGCCAATTGAAAAAGTGACAAAGAAAACAATATATGTTCATAATTACATGTTTATTTGCATTTCAGAATTAGTGGTGTACTAATCAACAAAGTAGAAGTGGAGGAAAATCTAGTCCTAGCTTTGCCTTTATTAATTTTCATTAAGAAAAACCTCTAGACTTCCTTTCTTCGTAACATTTTCTAATGAAGAATAAACAAGAAAGAAATGAAAATTTATCAGCCAGAGCTGGGCGTCGTGGCACACACCTGTAGTCCCAGCAGAGGCAGGCAGATCTCTGTGAGTTCAAGGCCAGCCTAATCTACACAGTGAGTTCCAGGCCAGCTGGGGCTACAGGGAGATCCTGTCTCAAAAAGGTCAAAAAAGAGCTGAAAGGCTGACGTGTATCTGGCCACTTTCCAGAAATAAAAAGGAAATCTGTGGTTGAAATAATCAAGAAAGATAACAGGCAAAGATAGAATACAGGGTTGGGAACTTAAATCATGCAGGTACTTATTATCCCTCTAAGGACTCTGGTCTTTAGCAGAGATGAGAAACCAATGGAGAGTTTTTGTCAGAAGAGTGATGATTACTTGACTTTGTTTTAAAGGGGGCATTCTGGAGCTGTTAAGAGCAGTGATGCTCTCTATGAACCATGTACGTTTCTAACATTAAAATCTGACATCATGTTTTCATTCGTTGATCTACTAGCTCATGAGCTCCATAGAGAGAGGTTGAATTAATTCAATTCCAGTGTCTTATATATAATAGAACAAGCAATAAATATTTACTAAATGAATATAGAAAATAATTTCACCAAAAATCTAATGAGTAAGATAAGACAATTTATCTTCTCATTTGTGCTAAAAAAAAACTGACCTATAAGTATGAAGTTAAACATTTATTATGCTGAAAACAAAAGAGACGACATTCTAATAACATCTTTCAGACTTAAAATTTACTTAAACTTTCAGAATCTCGAATTAGGACCATGACAAGCTATGATGATATATGCATAATGAAGGTTCACTTTATGTCTCTAAATAAAATCCCCAGTTGTTCACTCATACTTAATACAAGTCTAGAACTGACTGGCGCTTGCTCTTTTACCACTGAGAGCAATTTACTTACTGGTGTGGTCACATTCATGTTATACATTCCTGATGGAGGAGGTTGATTTGCTTTAACAAATGGATTACAATATTTCTTAGTTTTCTCATCCACTCTGTAACAAAATTTTGTAGTTAGAATCATCAATAATTATTTTCTCAAGCACAAAATCAAATGGCATATGAAATGACACGCAGTGACATGAGATGCAGAACTGAATGTCTCTTCTCAAGAACACAATGCACAGAAATCTGGTGAGACATTCTACTGTTTGTCACATCACTCATGCTTCCTGCAACAGCCCCAACTTATACCAAATACATTGCCTTCCTTCCAGGAAAATGCTCAGAGGACCTTCTGTGTATCATTAAGTGTACCACTAAATGCTCACAGCCAACCACTCTATTCAGCAGCAGACCCTCAAAACCAATTATTTCCCTTATGAATAACTTCTTTCTACATTATTAAACCAAACAGCTGCAGATTCTCTTCACCTTAAACCATGGTACAACACTACTTTCTTAGGACTTAGGTGAACTTTTTTTTTAAGCAAATTCTGATAATTTTAATCACATAGATCAAAAATGTTTAAAATAGCTATCTGATAAGTAGAAATCGCATCCAGAATTCTGGCAGCAAAACAATGTGGAAAAATTAACATTTTTTGGTCTCCTTTCTCTAATTCATACCTGTAACATGGAACTCCTGGCATAGTTCCCATGCCAGCATTAACACCAGGAGCAACTGCAGAAAGATTATGTGTCAGTGGAGGAATTGCCATGCCTGGATTCCTTGAGTGATCCACACTGATGTTACTGCCATCTCTGAGGTTTGTATAAGGAAAGCCTTTCATGTGACTTGCCCTGTTGTCATGGAGACAGCTGGCATTTGAAGTTCTTCCTTTTTCAGCTTTCTCTCCATCCATTTTTGACCCTTTTATTTTAAACACTTTAGAATCCTTAATTTTTGGATCAGCTTTGTTATCCTGATCATTAATAAACATGTTAAAAGGTTAATGATCTGACAAGGATGAAAATCGTTTCTTGCTGTAAAGTATGTGCACTACAGCAAAATCTCACAGATATCAATCACTCTTTTGTGCCTATTATCATTAATCTACCAATGGAATTAGAGTTAAGCCCAAATTCTTACTCAAATAGGTATTGTGAAAACAGAAGAATGGAAACGCAATTCACAGCAACTCTGATATACAGATACAGATATAAACAGATGCGGGTGTGTGTCTGTGTGTACACATTTCAGCGGGGAAAAAACACTGAAGACCAAATAAGATTTCAAGATTGCTACTTTTTTCTTACATATTCAAGGTCAGCAAACATAAAATTGAAAATTCTTCTTTTGGTTCACTTGATGGTAGTAGATATATTATTGGGAAGAGATGGTGGGTCATTTAGCAGGAAAAGTAAACTGTAAACATCCAAATCTCAAATTTAAATTGTTCAATTTTATTAAAAAAAAAGCAAATAAAAACAGCATTTGTCTGCTATTATTAAGGAAGAAACATGGACTAAGTGTGTGTGTGTGTGTGTGTGTGTGTGTGTGTGTGTGTGTATCTATTCCCCATGTATGCATGTATTTGCTCCCCAGTATGTGTGTGTGTCATGTGTGTGTGTGCACGCACATGTACACACGGATGTTGAATGTTCTTGGATGAGTATGTGGAACTGAAATTCTCTGACAAAGCTGTATCTTCCCTAAGGATCTCGCAGACTGACTTTGGATGAGAATATTGTGATTTCAGAGGAATGAAATGTCTTGGGTCTAAAGTCAAAATTACCTTGGGCTATGTTAGTCCCTGTAAAGTCATTTACTTTTAACCACTGCATCAGATCTAACTTCCTCATGACTATGAGGTAAAATTCTTAGACTGTGTTGCAAAGCATAGCAGACCTCTAGCCTCTACCAATCTAAGTGCTAAGAAAGCTAGACGATAACAGCTACAAAATACATAAAAGATGTCTTGCTCTGCTACAGGCTGCTCAGCTAACACTCCACTAAAGTATTTGGTAAATGCTTTGACTATGACCTTCTCTGTTCTGTGGCTATAAATTTCTTCCACAGCAGAATATGTCATTTAAGGTAACTCAAATCCATAGTTACTCATCCTTGGCTCAGAATACACTTTTTTTTTTTTTTAAATACAGGGCTTCTCTGTAGCCCCAGCTGGCCTGGAACTTGCTATGTAGACCAGGTTGACCTCAGTCTCATGGAGATCTACCTGCCTCTGTCTCCACAATGTTGGGATTAAAGGTGTACAGCACCACACCTGGCTGGAATACACTATTTTCTTATGTCTTTAAATTCATTATTATTTTTAAAAATATTTTATTTATTTTTTATGTGAGTGTATTTTGCCTGCATGTAAGTATACCCATGTTGTGCAATGCCCGTGGAAGCCAGAAGAGGGCACTGGGTCCCCTGGAACTGGAGTTACCGATGGTTTTTAGCTGCCATGTGGTTCTGGGTACCAAACCTGGGTCTTCTGCAAGAGCAGCCAGTTCTCTTAAATGCTGAGCAATCTTTCCAGTCCCAAAATTCATTATTTTACATAAGTTTATTTCCTAGCAAGCACTATTGCACTTTCTGGTACATGTTGTATACTCAAAACATAATAATTAAATTATTTTAAAGGGCAGTGTCTGGAACTAGAGAGATGGTCTAGGAGCCAAGAGAGAGCATACTGTTCCTGCAGAGGACCTGAGTTCACTTCCCAGAACCCATGTCCTGTAACTTCAGCTCCAGAGTATCTGATGCCTCTGACTTCTCTGGACACCTGCACACACACACACACACACACACACACACACACACACACAATTTTTTAAAAATTAATCTTTTAAGAAAGGTAGTTTTGTAAAGATAGATTGCTTTTTTTTTCAACCAGGCTAAAAGTTAACTTACTAATATTTTAAAACTTAAAAATCTTCACTCCTAGCCTGGTGTGGTGGCACATGCCTTTGATCCCAGCACTTGGAGGCAGAGGCAGGAGGATCTCTGTGAGTTCAAGTCCAGCCTGGTCTACATAGTGAGTACCAGGCCAGCTGGGGCTACAGGGAGACCTTATCTCAAAAAAAAAAAAAACTTCACTCCCCCAACAAATTTTAATCTTAAAGCATGAACATGATGAACATTTACCTGTACCATAAGTGTTTTTCTTTCTTCGCCTAAAGAGTCATCTTTTTCTTTCTTCTTGTTTTGAGATTTTTTAGGTAAAGAATTATTCCTGGCATCTTTCTCTATTTTTAACTGTAGTTCTTGAGAAAACCTACATAAAAGCATGTTTCTCAGTTAAAATAAATTACATGAGAAAGATAAACCTAGAGAAAAATTTACTTTCAAGAAAATTGTTTTAAAAAAACTGTTAAGCTAATCCATTTTATTTAAAATGAAAAAAAAACAAACAACAACAACAAAAAAACATAGCCTAGATAAACAGTTCCTAGAGGGTAGCCTGCAGACTTTTGGGGGTACCTGAGAACTTTCAGGAGGTTGATAAGCCCTAGCCGTTTTTATCTTAGCATAAAGAAGCTGCCTTTATCACCCTGTGAACATTGCCCTGATGGTATAATAAACAGTGGTAATGAAAATAGTGGCATCTTACCAAGAATTGAAATACCTGCACCAAACTGTTAGCAATCATTGTTTTCTTCACAGCCACACAGTCACAGTCAAAGGTTGGGGTGGGCAGTTTCACTTAAGAATGTTCCTAATGTGCAGAGAACAAGAGGACGCTGAACACTTAATCCTTGAATAGGACATTTCAAACCTCTGTCTCTCAAGGATCATTGTAGAAGAGGCAGAAAGATTAGAAGAGGGGGTGGATGACCACAAGGAAACAGAGTCTTCCACATAGCTGGTCATATGAATGCTCTGCAATGGTGACAGCATGGACAAGTCCTATGCAAGCTCAAACTAGACAAAACTCCAGCAAAGACATAAGGAAGTGGGTAAAAAATCCCAACCCAACCTGAGAAACTTTTGGCAATTGATGGCTGCTGTGAGGGAGGAGAGACAGTGTCTTACAGGGTTGGGACTCTTTGTTGGGTCTAGTGAATGGATCTATACTAAAAGACATTGGGGGACACAAATTATACGCTGTAGGGTTCATTAAATTGGGTGAATTGGGTGGGGGACAGTGGAAGGAGGTGGGGAGGGGGATCAGATCTAAATGCCATCAAATTATATTGTATGAAAATTGCAAAAATTGCAGAAAAAAATCACAAACGGAAAAAAAAAGAATGTTTCTGCCTGCAGGGCCATAGTGGCACACGCCTTTAGTCCCAGCAGAGGCAGGCGGATCTCTGTAAGATTGAGGCCAGACTGGTTTACATATTAAGTTCCAGGCCAGCTGCATCTCCATGGAGACCCTCTCTCTAAAGACCAAAAAAAAAAAAAAGTTCCTGATGAAGCAGTGAAGAGATATTCATTTTATTAAGCTAAACCCTTGGACACGTCTCCATATTTTATGTAAGAAAATGAGGATGTGCATTAAGCTCTTCCACCATGAACCAAAGTGCAGAAGTTGTCTTAAGACAACCAAAGTGCTCGAGATAGAAACCAAACTAGACATGTTTTCATGAAATATTTACACTTGAAAGAAAAACTGACAGAAAATCCATGCTTATTCAGATACTATGCACCAGACATTTTGCTTTGTAAAATGAACAAAGTGAATTAGTCATTGCAAGGAAAACAATAGCTGTTTCTGTAAATAATAAAATTCACACTTGTGTGCAAAATTTTAAAATCTATTAAATTTGGGATCTTAGAAGTTCTCAATTTTATTCAAAACTTTTCTGATGAAATGGAATATAATTTTTGATAATGTATAGTGAAATAAATCAACATTTCTAAAGTTTACATAACTCAGAAAAAAACATTATTTTTCAATGACTCAAGTATAAAGATACAAAGGCATAAATGGATAAAATATCAATTCAGAAAATGAGACAAAAAATGGATTTTAGTGCAACAGAGAAAGAAAAGTTCACTAACATGGTTTAAATTTCACAATGTAACCAACTTGTGAGAAGTTACTACAGGGAACTAGAAAGATGGTCCAGCAGTTTGCTCTTTCAGAGGACCAGAGTTCAGTTCCCAGCATCATATTAGGCAGCTCATAGTCTGGTGGCTCACAACCCTATGTAACTCAAGCTCCAGGGGATCCAACACCTTCTTCTGGCCTCTACATGCACCCACACATACATGGGCAGACACACACAGACATACACACACAAATAAAAATAAAATTATATTAAAAAGAAACTACAACAGCTGAGCTGGGCATGGTAGCACATACCTGTAATCCTAGCACTCAGGAGGCTGAGGCAGGAGAATCCAGAGTCTGGGTCTAGCCTGGCCTACGCAGTGAGTTCCAGACCAGTCAGAGCTACAATGCAAGACCCTGTCTCAAAATTTTCAAAAGTAAAAACAAGGAAAGAAGGGAAGGAGAAAAGGAGAGATTAAGGAAGGAGGGAAGGAGGGAAGGAGGGAGGGAGGAAGAGAGAGAGAGAGAGGGAAAAAAAGGGAGAGAGGGAGGGAGGGAGGGAGGGAGGGAGGGAGGAAGGAAGGAAGGAAGGAAGGAAGGAAGGAAGGAAGGAAGGGCTATTGCCAGATTTTGGTATAGAATCAAAGAATACTACAATTACTAAAAAATAAAAAACCAAAAAACTATTAAAACACTTTTTCATTTTTCCAGCTACGTATTTGTGTAAGATCAGAGTTTCTTTTAACCCAAATAACATACCACAATATTCACAAATATAGAAGCAAACATAAGAATCCAGCTATATTGTATTAAGTTGGAGATTAAAGAAATTTGCAAAAATATAAAGCACTGAGGCTGAAAGAAGGCTCAGCAGTTAAGAGCACTGGCTGCTCTTGCAAAGGCCCCAGGTTCAGTTCCCAGCACCCACAATGGCAGCTAACAATTCTTAATAACTCCAGTTCCAGGGGATCCTATGCTTTCTTCTGGCCTCTGCAGGCATTGCATACATGTGGTGCATTTACATTTGTGTAGGTAGAACACTCGTACACTCTAATAAATATAATTTTTAAAATATTTTTTATATTTTATCATTTTTATTTTATATGTATGAGTGTATTGCTTGCATGTATATGTAAGTGCACTCATGTCCTGCAATGCCTGCAAAAATCAGAAGGCATTGGATTCCCCTGGAACTGAAGTTGAAGATGGTTGTTAGCTGCCATGTGGGTGCTGGGAATCGAACCTGGGTCCTCTGCAAGAGCATATAGTGCTCTTAACTGCTGAGCCATCTCTCCAGCCTCAATTATTTTTTCTAAAAGAGTGTACTGCCCTTGCAGAGAACCTGAGTTTGGTTCCCAGCACCCATGTTGAGAGGTTCACAACTGCCTGTAACTCGGGATCCAGGGGATCCAATGCCCTCTCTAGCCTCTATGTGTGAGCATCTGCACTCACACAGACACACAGACACACACACAATTTAAAAACTAAATCTTCAAAAATATATATGAAGCACTGTCACAGCCACTCATCTCACAGTTTTGCTTTGTAAGCCACATGGAGACCAGCACCTGGAGCAGCACTACAGACTTGCCCATAGCAGTACCTACAGGACTGGCACATTAAGGATTCTGGCACATCAGCAATATCAGTAGCACCACTGGATCTGGTATGGGATGAGTTTGGCAACCACAGGAGATGGCAACTGCATCAGTACCTAAGATGATCACACACAGCTGGCAGCAACACAGGAATCAATACCTAAATGATAGATGTCACTACAGAAAGACAAGAAAAAAACCTGGACAGACTATTTCATGAAAACCAGCAGCTCTAGTTTAATAAATGCAGGAAATGGGTTGGAGAGATGGCCCAGCAGTTAAGAGCACTGGATGCTCTTGCAAAGAACCCAGGTTCAGTTCCCAGTATCCACATAGTGGCCAACAGCCATTCATAACTCCAGTTCCATGGGGTGCTGTGCCCTCTTCTGGCCTCTGCAACCATTGCATGACACAGCAAAACGCTTATACGTATAAAAATTAAAAATAATAAATAAAAATTAAAAAAATAAATGTAGGGGGGCTGGAGAGATGGCTCAGTGAAAAGCACTGACTGCTCTTAGAGAGGACCAGGGTTCGATTCCCAGCACCCACATGGAGGCTATGAACAGTCCTTAAACTCCAGTTCCAGGGGACCGACACGCTCTCTGACCTCCGTGGCATTGCACGACAAGGGTGCATTCAGAAACATTTAAAAAATAATAAATAAATAAATAAATGTAGGACCCCCCCCCAAAGAATTACATTACTTCTAAGACTGAATGAGAATAGAATATGGGTATTCGATATCCTGCAAAAATAGGTGGTAACAGAAATAAGAGAAATGCTGCATTTGACTGTTATGGAGGGTTTACTTTAATTATGGTTAGCATAGTTTGGAAAGCAAGGGCTAGGACTGTACCTCTCAGCAAATCCATCCATTTGAAAGAAATCATGGTGGAGGAGTTCAGCACAGAAGGGCCTTTGGTCCGGGTCAATATGCAAGCATTTCTGAAAAGTCAAGAACATATACAAGTCTTCAAGAAAAAATGTCTAAATTTCTAAATGTGAAAAAATTGAAAATTCTTCTTTATAACCAATGAATAGAAAAATGCACAAATCAAGATAATGACTATCAGTGGTTGCTAATATCACAAAAATAAGACCCACCAGGCATAAATATATATACGATTTCCTATTAAGTAGTTTTCCAAAAAAATAAACCTGATTCTGATCTCTAGCTCTACTAGCCATCTGTAAGAAATAAAAAATAACACTTATGTGTATTTTTTGAACTTGTGGATAAAGTCATAAAAGACAGGTGCAAAATCAAGTCTTTTGCAACCCAGAACTCGTTGTTCAGTTTGAATGTTGATACACATAAGAATGAATGCAATACTCAAGACAGCTCAGCGTGATGATGATGATATTGATAATGAGGTTGTTCGAAGAATAAATAGTTGATCATTTAAAAGCAAAAAACCCCAACAATGTTTTCTTTTTAAATTTTATTATTTTTATTTTATGTGTATGCGTGTATTGCCTGCCTGTAGGTAAGTGCACCCGTGTTGTGCAATGCCCACAGAGGTCAGAAGAGGCTGTTGGATCCTCTGGGACTGGAGTTATGGACAGCTGTTAGCTGCCATGTGGGTGCTGGGATTTGAACCCAGGTCTTCTGCAAGAACCAGTGTTCTTAACCGCCAAGCCATCTCTCCAGCCCCTACATTTCTTTTATATCATTATTGTTCTGTCTCTCCCTCTCCCTCCCTCTCTCTCCTCCCCCTTCTCTCTCCTCCTCTCTCCTAATTTCTTATTCTTATTTTGGCTCCATTTAGTTGTATTAGCTATAATTTTGGAATGCATGTGCTCAGCTTTTTTTTTTTTTTTCTGTCTTTTTGAGACAGGGTTATATAAACCAGGCTGGCCTTGAACTCACAGAGATCCACCTGCCTCTGCCTCCCAAGTGCTGGGACTACAGGCGAGCGCCACCACGCCCGGCTTCAGCTTTCTTTTTAAAGTAGCTAATGCCGCCATTTCAGAGCCGAGCACTCAGGAAGCAGTGAGTTCAAGGCCACTCTGCTCTACACAGTGAATTCCAGGCCATCTGGGGCTACAGAGAGACCCTGTCTCAAAAAGACAAAAAAAAAAAAAAAAGTTTAGGAGGGGGTTGGAAAGATGGCTCAGTGGTTAATGGCATTGGCTGCTCTTGCAGAGGACCTAGGTTCAAATCCAAGAACCCACATGGCAGCCAACAACCATCCATAATTCCAGTTCCAGAGGATCTGATGCCCTCCTCCGATCTCCTCGGGCATCACATGACACTGGTGAACTTCCATGTATGCAGGCAATATACTCATACACATATTTATTTTTTGAGACAGGGTCTCCCTGTAGCCCAGGCTGGCCTGGAACTTAGTAGATAGACCAAGGTGGCCTGGATCTCACAGAAATCCACCTGCTCTGCCTCCCAAGTGTGTGCCACCGCGGCCAGCTCGACCTTATCCTTTGAGACATTGAACCTGGAGCTCATCAACCAGGCTAGGCTGCATGGATCTTGTTCCTATTATGATAAAATACTCTGACAAAAGCACCTTAAGGGCGAAAGGGCTTATTTTATAGCTCATCATTCAAGGCCCAGCCCATCATGGTGGGGAAGTCAAGGCAGTGGGGAGTTTTGAAGCTGTTTATCACATCCACAGATGATAATGAATGCATGCATGCTAGTGTTCTGCTGGCTTTCTCCACTTCTAAGCAGTCCAGGAGCCCCTGCCTGGGAATAGTGGCACCCACAGTAAACAGGACTTCCCGCCTCATTAATGTAATCAAGATAATGCCCACAGACATGTTCAGAGGCCCATCTCCCAGGTGATTCCAGAGTCTGTCAGGTTGACAATTAACATTAACAATCAAACTCAGCTTTTATGTGGGTGTTAGGTATCTAAAATCAGGTCCTCAAGCTTGCCTGGCAGGCGCTTTACTGACAGAACCATAGTCCTAGCCCCTGCCTAAATTTTGTTTAAATGAATTAAAGAAACAAGCAACAACACAAAGTAAATGTTATATATCCTGCTGTTTTAGGGAGAGTTTTTGCAGTACTCTGGACAATTAGTAATGATTAACTTTATTAGCTAATGATGTTAAAGGGTTAACTTTCAAAGACAATGTAAAGTAGTGAAAATCTCTTTATATCTTCCTCAGTTAAACACAAATAAAAGCAAGTCATTTGTAAATCAACTTTAGCAAATCCAGTGTGTACGCAACAGTGTCTGATAACACAATAGATTAAGGTCCTATGCCATACACTTTAATATTTTTCTAATTCTCTAAATTTATTTTTCTGATCTTATTTTCCTTCCTATTTCCATTTAAAATACAGTTTTTTATGTTTTTAGATGAGAATTTTTTTTTTCAAACTTAAAACATACTAGAAATGTTCTCAGTGAATCTTAGAACAGGTAAAAATTTCAGGCTTTTATTTCTAAAGTATCCCTACCCTCCATACCAAATTAGGTAAACTCTTTCTTAATGTATAAAAATTAAAATCAGGGCTGGAGAGATGGCTCAGAGGTTAAGAGCACTGGCTGCTCTTGCAGAGGACCTGGGTTTGGTTCCTAGCACCCACATGACAACTAACAACCAACCATCTGTTACTCTAGTTCCAGGGGATCCGATGTCCTCTTCTGGTTTCCACAGACATTTGCATGCACATTTATACATGCAGGCAAAACACTCAAACACATAAAATAAAAATACATAAATAAATTTTTTTTTTTTTTGTCTTTTTGAAGCAGGGTTTCCTTGTAGCCCCAGCAGTCCTGGAACTCACTATGTAAACCAGGCTGGCCTTGAACTCAGAGATCCACCTGCCTCTGCCTCCCAAGTGCTGGGACTACAGGCATGCGCCACCACACCCAGCTAGTAAATTAATTTTTTAAAAAATAAAAATCACTTGAGAAAATTATTGACCTGATAGATCAAGAGGAGATGAGACTCTCTGTACTATAGAAATTTCCTATCACAAAGTGAAAGCAAAAAGTATGGTTACCTTTGCTAAACTTATCACAACTTCAGGGAGCTTAGGATAGCGGCTTTCGAGAGGTTCTGTTTCCTTGATCTCGGGTAGTCTTACTCTAGCAAACACAGGATTTTTATAAAATAGTTCCTGATGTCTTGGAATCAAATTACCTAGAAACAAAACCAACACATACTTCAGTCAATATACATGACAGAAATAGTGAAGAGACAGGTGTGTGGATTAGAAGCTATGGAGCTTGAACTCTCATGGCATGCAAAAATCAACCAAAGACAGCTGTTTGGGAATGGCACATGGAACTCTTTCTAGTGACTGACACAAGTCAACTCAAGGAAATGAACATGGCCTTTTCAACATACTCATCTATAAACATTTAAACACAACTATAAACAGAACTGAGGTGAGAAAGCCTAGGAAAAGGACTAGTAAAGAATATTTTGTATCATGGCTGGAGGGATGACTCAGCAGTTAAGAACACTGGCTGCACTTGCAGAAGACCCAGGCTCAACTCCCAGCACCCACATGGCAACTAACAACCATCTGTAACTCCAGTTCCAGGGAATCAATACCCTTTTTCTGTCCTCTGTGGGCATTACACAACACAGGTACACTTACATACATGCAGGCAATACACTCATACACATAAAATAAATTTTTTTTTAAATAAAAAAAGAAATTTAGGCTGGGCATAATGACACATGCCTTTAATCCCAGCATTCAGGAGGTAGTGGCAGGCAGATCTCTGTGAATTCGAGGCCAGCCTGGTCTATATAGCAAGTTCCAGGACAGCTGGGGCTACAAGGAGACCCTGTCTCAAAAAAACCAAAAAAAAAAAAAAATGTTTTTTAAAAAAGAATATTTTTGTATCATTCTAGATACAAATTCTACCACTTCTTTTCTAACAACAAAATGTATTATTCTGACCAAAATAATGAAAATAGAGTCACACGAACAGAAGCTAGTCTAGATAAATTAGTTCTTCCCTCTAAGAATTTAATTTTTGTTCAACAGATTGTATACCTGTATCTTAGTTGAGATTTGAGTATTTAAACCTTTTTCAATTTTAATACCTAATATATTATGAAGTATGTATATGAAAGTCTTAGGTTTTATAAGTTGTATTTATAATATATATTACAATGCAAACACTATGCAAGAACAATATTGAGGAAACAATGAAAAGAAGGAAGTATATACTCTAAAGATGCAATTCCTTCCTTTTTCTGTGTGATACAACAGTACACATGAAAATTCTTTTTTTTTTTTTTTTTTTTTTTTTTTTTTTTTGGTTTTTTTGAGACGGGGTTTCCCTGTAGCCCCAGCTAGCCTGGAACTCACTATGTAGACCAGGCTGGCCTCGAACTCACAGAGATCCACCTGCCTCTGCCTCCCAAGTTCTGGGACTACAGGAGTGTGCCACCATGCCTGGCTGAAATCATGTATTTTTAAAATTTTATTTTTATCTTATGTGTGAGTGTTTTGCCTACATGTAAGTGCACCACATGCATGCAATGCCTGTGGAGGCCAGAGGAGGGTGTTGAATCTCCTGGAGCTAGAGTTACAGACTCTTGTTAACTATCGTGTGGGTGGGAACAACTGAATCTGGGTCCTCTGCAAGAGCAGCCAGTGCTCTGAACTCCTAAACCATCTCTCCAGTCCCTATATTAATATTCTGAGTTCTAATCACTAAATCATTCTGAGTTCTCACTGTACTGCCTTGTTACAATTTTTGTAGCATTTTCAAATTAGCAATCGTCTTGAGTAACTTCAAAGTAGTCTCTATGCTAACATATTCTTTGAGTTCTGATTTTTAAAACAGTTTAAAATTTTTCCTCCCTTTTGGCTTTCAGTTCTTGTTATTCTATTTGTCCTCAGCAATCACCATCTTTCTCTCTTATGTGCTTTTTGCAGTATATCAAAGAATACACTGATCGGCCTTGCTAGAATTGTGTGAAAACAAGTAATTGGGTTCATTGTATGTCTGTGTGTGGGGGGGTTCCTATTTGTTCCCTATCTTCACTTAAAATAGGTATCATCTTTAATATATGAACAACATTAAAAAAAAACAACAATACAAATGCACTCAGGGGAAAAAAAACCTATAAATACACAGATGTATATTCTTACCTAAACATGTCATAATATGATGTAGCTGATCAATATCAGATTCTCCGGGAAATAGGGGTTGCCCCATGAGCATTTCAATTACTAGGCAACCAATGGCCCACACATCAACAGCCCTGGAAGGAAAAGTAATATGATGTAAGATGTGGCATCCTGACATGTTTCCTGTGACTAATGTGTTCTGGACTTCACCATGTTGGTATTCTTGGTATTGAAAATAACAGTAGTAATAGCCAGGTGTGGTGGTGCGCACCTTTAGTCCCAGGACTCTGGAAGCAAAGGCAGGCAGATAGATCTCTGTGAGTTCCAGGGGAACCAGGGCTACATAGCAAGTTCCAAACCAGGGGGGTGCAGGGGGTGGGGGTGGGGAGGGAGTCTATTACCCATAGAAAGGCTTTTTTTTTTTTGTCTTTTTTAGACAGGGTCTCCCTGTAGCCCCAGCTGACCTGGAACTTGCTATGTAGACCAGGCTGGCCTTGAACTCACAAAGACTGCCAAAAAGGCATTTTTTAAGAAGGCATTTCTCTGTAAGAGTTCTAACCCTCAACTTTAATAAGTGAGATTTCCAGAAACTTCTATCATGTGACATTAAAAGGAAAAGGTTTTAAAAAGTCAAAACTTACTATGCATACTTTATTCTGAAAATAGACTCTCTGAGGCCAGCTGTGGTGCCACACACCGTTAGTCCCAGCACTCAGGAGGCAGAGGCAGGCAGATTTCTCTGAGACGGAGGCCAGCTTGGTCTAAGGGAGTTCTGGGCCTGCTGGGGCTGTAGAGAGACCTGTCTCAAAATAAAAAATAAAAAAAAAAGGCTCTCTGGCTTCACTGAGAGCCCACTCACATTTGATTTTTTACGTATAATTCTCTTTTTTAATTTTTAAAAAAATTTTGGGGCCAGGCGTGGTGGCGCATGTCTTTAATCCCAGCACTCGGGAGGCAGAGGCAGGTGGATCTCTGTGAGTTCAAGGCCAGCCTGGTCTCCATAGTGAGTTCCAGGACAGCTGGGGCTACAGGGGGACCCTGTCTCAAAAAGACCAAAAAAAAATTTTTTTTTATAGGCTTATTTTTATGTGTATGGGTATATTGCCTGGATGAATGTAAGTGCACCCCTGCTGTGCAATGCCCGAGGAGGTCAGATGAGGGCATTGGATCCCCTGGAACTGGAGTTATGGATGATTGTTAGCCACCACATGGGTGCTGGGAATCAAACCAGGGTCCTCTGCAAGAGCAGCCAGTGCTCTTAATTGCTGAGCCATCTCTCCAGCCCTGGTTTACATATAAATCTAACAATTATCAGTGCATTCTGTGGTACACTGATAAAACACACCAGAAAAAGGAGGTGGATATTGAAGACAGAGTAATAAAAAGAACTGGAAGCTAATAGGGATAGAAAATTTAAAACTATTTCAGCAATCAGTCAGAACATGAAAGCACAGAGCCAATCACCCTGAAGTGGCTCAGCGTCCTTGCTTGAATTGTAAAATGCTACAGAAATTACAGCAGTACAGTAAAATAAGAGCTCAGAATAATTAAAAAAGATTACAGGATGTTTAATGTAATCTAAACACAAAAAGTACAGAATATTTTAGGAAAATTTCTGGTCCTCCCTCTTTGAAGAATTCACTTATGAAGACATTTTTTTTTTTTTTTCGGTCTTTTTGAGACAGGGTCTCCCTGTAGCCCCAGCTGTCCTGGAACTCATGTGGACCAGGATGGCCTTGATCTCACAGAGATTCTCCTGCCTATGCCTCCCAGGCATTGGGATTAAAGGTGTGCAGAGCACACCTGGCTGACAACTATTTAATTAATAATCCTCTTTACTCTCATCCTTACCTACTCTACCTCATCTCACTCCAACTGTCCAACTGCTCTAATCTTTTTTTTTTTACAAATGATTATTTTTTTCTGATAACTGAAATTACTCAACTTTACCTTTAAGATAAATATACCAACCCCAAGTTGTTTCAACAAGGTTTTTGTCATTTGTTTTGCCACACGTGTCACAACATGGGGGTCTCCAAAGTGTGAGACAAGCATTCTCTCACTGAGTCACCCAATCCTCACGAGAATTTTTTGTTATTTGTTTTTTGAAACAGCGTCTCTCTGTAGCCCCAGCTGGCCTGGCACTTGCTGTGTAGACCAGGCTGGCCTCAATCTCACACTGATCTGCGTGACTTGGCCTCCCAGTCACTGGCACATGCAGGGCCCTGACAATAATTCTTTACAAATAAATTTTAAACTCTGGAAATTATTACAAATTACTTATGAAGGTTAAACACACACCTTCCCTTCAGTGCTAGAAAGCTCATTCATTTGAATGAGCTAACATGTCCCATCTAGCAGGTAGAAAGAGCTCAAGCCTTCCCGCTCCTGAGGTCTTACTTGCCATACTTGACATCACCAACCAGCAGTTCTGGAGCCCGGTACCACCGGGTGGCCACATAATCAGTATAAACCTCTCCAGGAGCTGCCAAGGTCCGAGCAAATCCAAAGTCACACAACTTCACAACACCAGACTGAGAGACTAATATATTCTCTGGCTTTATATCTCTGTGTATGATCTAAGACAAAAAAAAAAACAAACAAAAGATCATATCTTAACCCAAAACTAACTATGGGGTGCCTGCCATGAGTAGGGTGCTGCTTGGTGTTCTTGTAGAGTCCAAATAAACACATATAAAGTTGTCCTCGGGTTTACAGAACCTGGGGCCTAGTGAGACAAAAGAGAACACTCATGTTTAAAGTTTTAAACTAGCAAAGATGCTGTGTAAATAAAGCTCTGCTGAAGGTTAGAGGTAGTCAAAGAAATTTCTTAGGAAAGAGGTAAGCTGTATGATAGGTTCTGAAGATGGTCAGTTCAGCTAACAGTTGGTCATTTATGTGCTAGTCACTATTTGGAGTATTTACATACTTTAACTTATTTTACCCACATAATAACCCTGAGAGAGGCATGATTAGTTTCCACTTAACAAAGGGGTAGGAATGAGGAGTACTGACACTGAAATGTGGGGAGAAAGTTGTATGAAACCCTAACCTACGTGAGTTTGAGTGATAGGGTAGGAAAAGTGGTATGACTGGCAGGAAATAATAACACCTTGATGTGACTAGCCATAAATTAGAGTGAGGTCAGTTTTCTCATAAAATAAGCATTTTACATGGATACAGAAATGCTCTGAACATGGAACCATTTGATAGTAAAACCTCCTGCCTTAAAGACAGGCTGGCACCCATGCTAGTAACACTTTACACTACTTGAATGTACTAGTATATCTAAAGAGAGAATGGTTAAATATAGACATGAGGGTATAAAAAATAAAGGGAGGGGGGCTGGAGAGATGGCTCAGCAGTTAAGAACACTGACTGTTCTCACAGAAGACCTGGGTTCGAATCCCAGCACCCACATGGCAGCTAACAACTGTCCATAACACCACCAGGGGATCCGACAGTCTCTTCTGTCCTCTGTGGGCAGTGCACGACACAGGTGCACTTACCTACATGCAGGCAATACATGATACACATAAAATAAAAATAATAAATAAAATATTAAAAAAAAATAAAGGGACACAGAAGCAAATATAATCACAAAGCATTCAATACAAGAGTCAGCAAGCCAATGGTCCTGTTGCCCACTGGTTCCATTGGCAAGCCTACCTTAGCACAGAGATGAATGTAGAGTTCAGCCACCTGTGTTTAAGGCCCACTGAGAAGAAATTATCTTTTTTATTAGAAGGATTCATCAATGTCTTTAAAAATGATGCCACTAGGTATGTAATAAATAACTGTGGCAGTCAACCTTGAGTGCCAAGTTGAAGGGTTTTACAATCACCTAGGAAACACACCTCTAAGTGTGTCTATGAAGTCAGTTCCAGAGACATTTAACTGATGTGGGAAGACCCATCCTGAGTGTGGTGGCACCGTTCCATGGGATGGAGTCCTGGACAGAAAAAGGAGGAAGGAAGCAGGGCAGCAGTATTCATTTATCTGCTACCTAACTGCGATTCAGCATGAGCTGCCTTACACTGCTGCTGCCATAACTGCCCTGTCATGACAGACTGCACCCTCAAACTGAACCAAAATAAACCCTTCCTTCCTTAAGTTGATTTTGTGAGACAGTAATGAGAAAAATTACTAATACACTTACTACTTTAAACTGGTCTGATTTCCTATATACCCAATATTGTACTTCATATAGCCTATTCTTATGACAACTGTCCAGAGACAATTATCCTTCTGACTTATTAAACTAGCATTCAGTTTCTTGACCTTGATTAATATGTCTGTATGATCAACAAAAATAATGTTATAATTGGATTTCTCAAAAATCAATTTCTTCAGGAGATTCCCCAGGGAGGAACTAAACTAGATACATCTCTAATGAACAGTTTATATACACATACGTGTATGTGTGCATTCACATCTGAACTATACAACATAATTACATAATGAAAATATATAGTAAGACCATAAAAAGATGATAATTTTTTAAAAAATGGAAAACAATATTTAGGTAATAAGCACATAGATTATTTTTTCTTTTATTTACTTATATTTTGAGACAGAGTCTAATTTAGCACAGGCTTGTCCCAAACTTGCCATGTAGTGAAGGATAACCTTGAACTTCTGATCCTCCTGCTTCTACCTTCTGAGTGCTGGGATTATAGACATGCACTTTATATGTTTTTATATGGTATTGGGGATCAAATCCAGGGTTTTGTGCATACTAGACAAGCACTCTACCAACTAAGCTATAAACTCAGTCCTTTACTTGTTTTCATGATTATTTTCAGTTTTTAAATTCTATATCACTAGTGTTCATTCTATTGTATTCACAAAAAATATGGGGCTGGAGAGATGGCTCAGCACTGGCTGCTCGTCCAGAGAACCCAGGTTCAATTCCCGGCACCCACATGGTAGCTAACAACTGTCCACAACTCCAGTTCCAGGGGAACCAATGCCCTTTTCTGGCCTCTGCAGGCACTGCATGACATGGGTGCATTTATATACATGAAGGCAAAACACTCATATACATTAAAAAGTATATATAATAATATATTAATATACGTATATTATTTAAGATATTTTGCAGAACTGGTAAAATACATGCTGAGTCATTCATTTTGTATCCTATACCTATTTTTCCTGGTGGTGCTTTTTTTTTGGTCTTTTTGAGACAGGGTCTCCCTGTAGCCCCAGCTGTCCTGGAACTCCCTATTGTAGACCAGGCTGGCCTTGAACTCACAGAGATCCTCCTGCCTCTGCCTCCTGAGTGCTGGGATTAAAGGCATGCGCCACCACACCCGGGCTTGGTGGTGCTTTTATATGGTACTTTAAAGGCATAAAATTGGCCTACAAGGGACTAAGGCATACAAGAGACTATAGGTGAGATTTTCACATTCTTGTACTTCATATGTAGGCAAGAAAACCTGAATTAAAAATATATAGGATCCTTGGCGCATACATCTGTCAAAACTCATCATTTCAAATTTGTACATTCCTCTCAACAAATGTTACATTAAAAAAACACCAGTGAACAATATTCAAGTCTAGTTTATGACAGATATCTGAAATTTTTAGAGTTGAAAGGTATACTGATGCCTGCAGCTTACTTTCAAATATGTAAAGAATATAGATTAATAAAATAGATGAACATAGATCATACAAAAGTATTATGGAGATTATATATAAGTGAGCAACTACAGCAAATTTATTAAGTGAGACTATATAGACAGTGAGAATACAGTATTCATTATGTACTCTTTAACTTTTTAGTAGGGTCTAAAATTTTTGTACATTGGAGGAAAAAATTATGACATATGAAATTAGCAATATCAAGGCAATATAGTTCATTTCAATTATGTTACTAATCCAAACTTTTTTTAAAACCCACTAAATTAAGTCACTGGTATCTAGTGAAAGATTGACAACATCATCATCATATCTAATACTTACATTGTGACTGTGGCAAAATCCAATTCCATTAATAATCTGAAACAAATACTTTTGAACTACTTGGTACTCTAGTCCATTTGGAAATACTTTCAAATCATCAAGAACTGTGCGGTCAACGAATTCAAAGACTAGGTACCAACGTTTTTTTCTCTTACATACTTCCAACAAATTCACCAAATTTTCATGCCTCAGTTGCTGTTATAAAAAAAAAAGAATTTTATA